CTAGGATGAGGGAAGGGGGAAAGAAATAGAAAAAGGGGAAAAAGTACAAGTTAGTAATACTATTAGTGTCTCTTAGTTTATTGAAAAGGAAGACTTATGTTAATATTAATTGGAGAGATTTTTATGCTGGAATCTTGTACTCTGAGTAACTACTTAAAAGATAACAATATGCAATGTATTAACTATTGTTATTCTGCTATTATTTTATTGTTAAAGCTTGTTTTACCTTTTTTCCATAAAATTAAAGAAATTAAAAATTAAAGAAGAAAGAGTAACCAAAGTTTTCGGATTTAATGAAAATTTTAGGTCCACATATTCAAGAAGCATGTTAAAACCCAATCACAAAAAATATGAAGAAAACCAAACCAATCCAATTGCTTAACACTGGGATAAAGGGAATCTTAAAAGTAGCAAATGGGAACAGGGAAGCTTGCACGTTCACAGGAATGAAGACAAGGATAACAGCAGGTAACAAGTAGCAAGTGGTGAAGAAGGACGTACTGACATCCAAAGTAGTGCAAGCAAGAAGTCAGGGAGCAGCAGCTTCAAAGTATTGAAAGAAAATTGAAAACTTTCAGCCTGGAATCATATGGCAAGATATCTTTTTTCAGATTTATAAATGCTAAAATAATTTACTACTCACATACCTACACTACTAATTATGGCAAAACAGCCCCATGGAAAATATATGCCCGGCATAATTAATGTTGAATGCATTCTTCTTAAAGTCAATACCCGGAGAAAGATATGCGCTCTTCCTACTTCTGTTCATCAATGAATGGGAGCCATTGCGATCAAATCAGAAAAAGAAATGGAAGGCATTCAGATTTAGAAAGTAGAATTGTCTTTATTTGATTTATAAAAGATGCCATAATCTTTAATTAGTTAAGGTTTCCTATAGATTTTTCTCTTGAATTGAGATCTTTTCTCTTTCCTATTTAATAGAAATCTCTTCTCTTGAATAGGACATACGTAGACAAGTGCAAGAGGAGGTTTGTTACGGGAATTGGTTTGTGTGATCACAGAGGACAAGTAGTCCACGATCTGCCACCTGCAAGCTGGGGAACCAGGAAAGCCAGTGGTAGATTTTGTTCTTGGAGTTCAAGGCTTGATAAGCAGGGCTGTTTGTATAGGGTCCGAGAATCCAAATGCCCAAGAATGAAGAACTCTGATCTCCAAGGACAAAAGCAGATGGATGTTGAAGGTTGAAAAGAGAGACAATTTTCCCTTCTTCCACCCTTCTGTTTGACCCTAAGAGATTTAGATAGTGTCTGCTCACAATGGTGTACAATCTGTTGATTCAAATGCCAGTTTTTTTAGAATCACCTTCTCAGAAATACTTATAAATAGTACTTTACCAAGTATCTAAACATCCCTTAGCCCAGTCAAGTTGACGTGTAAACTTGACTGTCACATAAAGAACATTCTGTTGGGTCTACAAAACAAAATCAAAAATTGGTAGCATTAATAATGAGCAAGGTTGCTAGGCATGGCGGCACAAAACTATAGTCCCAATACTGTAATTGTGAGCAAAATAAGCTTCTTCTCCTTGAAGTTGTAGGTGATAGTAAGTGTGTCTCAAGGAGGAGAAAGTTGCTAAGACAGATTTTGGTACCAGGTTAGTAGTCATTGCTGTGAATATACCCTGGTGTGGGATTTAGAAGCCTTTGAAAAAGATTCATGGGAGAGTTGGGAAAGATTTCAGGACTCGAGCAAAGGAAGACTGAGAATGCTGGAAGCCATAAATGTTCCCAGAAGGCCTATGTGTTCAGGAATGGGGCTTTTGGAAGGTGATTGGATCATGCAGGTACTATATTCTTCAATGGATCAATCCACTAATGAATCCATAGCTGAATGTGTTGTTAGGAGGTAGGTGTCATCAGAAGAGGGCAGTCACTGGGAAGTGACTGGGAAGGCTGTGTCTTCTTCCTCACCTCCCCCCTTCTCTCTCTGTTTCCTGGGTGTGTCACATGACCAGCTCCCCCCCCCCCCCCTTCTTCCACGCTGTTTGTGCACTGGACCTGGCAAACCAGGGACTGTAATTGTTAGCCAAAATAAACATCATTTTTTGTTGTTGTTGTTGTTTTTGCGGAACTGGGGATTGAACTCAGGCCCTTGCGCTTGCCAGAGAAGCACTTATTCCACTGAGCCATCTCCCTGGCCCCCCCAAAATAAACATCTTTAAGTTAGGGACAATAGGTATTCTGTCCCAGAGAGGACAAAGTTACTAAGACAGAGAAATAGAAGTGGAAGCAGAGAGGAATGGGAAAAACAGATGGCAAATAATAATTTTAAATGGCACAAGAAAGAGCATTTATGAGATTGATTATATCTATATGATTTTATGTTTTAATTAATTAATTTATTTATTTATTAAATTTTATTTATGTGTGTGTGTGTGTGTGTATGTGTGTGTGTGTGTGTGTGTGGCCAGCTCAGCCCACCAGGGGGCAGGGCTAGCTGGCATGTGGTGCTGGGGGATTGAACCGCGGTCCCTGTGCTTTTAGTTTGTTCTAAGTAGGTGCTTTAGACCACTGAGCCATCTCACCAGCCCCATATGGTTTTATCTTATCTGTGATGTCAGGTGAAGAAAATAAAGCAACACTTCTTGAACTTGGAGCTGTGGAACCCTTAACCAAACTGCTCACTCATGAAGACAAAATTGTAAGAAGAAATGCTACCATGATACTTGGAATCCTAACTTCTAACAGTAAGTATCAACTTTTAAAAGTAAATACATGATCTTTTCCTTCCATTGTAAGGTACTTGTTTCAATTTCATTAAAACTGACTTTAAAAATAAATAAACAAAATAAAACTGACTTTAATGTTGACAAACTAAAATTTAAATCATACAATGCAGCAAATGCATGATGTCACATTTTACGGGATTTTTTTAATGGCCCCAAGAGCTGAGCCCCATCCCATCACACTGGGTTGTCTCCATACCCCCCTCTTAAACTTCTTAATTTTGCATCAGGGACTTACTAATTTGCCAAGTTTCCAAGGTTGAGCCAGAACATAGGAACTTCTGCCTCAGGCTCAGAATACAAGAATGTACCTGGAATATTTTCAAGTACAAAAGTATGTACAGATATGTATGCACAAAAAGTCCTCACAACGTTGGTAAGTTGGTATGTTTCAGTTTTAAAACTCAGAAGAACAATCATTATCTCTCAAAGTATTTTTCTTGATAGTATAATGCAATTTGCCTGCCACATATGTGTAAGTTGTACTTTAGATATATTTCACTACGAATGAAGCCCAGAGTAAAGCTTTGATAAACTGATATTTCTGAAACTGCAGACTTTACAAAAATAAATTTAGATGTATATATTTATTCTTAAATCAGATCTATTACTTGCTTAGAATATTTTCATAAATATATTTGATAAGGTTGTATAATATTAGGTAATATTAGCTAAAATATGTTGTTATGTCTTTAGACTATCAGCTTGGCTAAGACCATTCAAATAAAAGGAGGCATTACTTTTACGAATAGGATGTGTTTTCCACGTATAAATCGTTTCCCTGTGTTATAAGAGATGTTTTGAGTCAGTTAATAAAAGTCGCGTAACTTATAAAAAGTTTAAATGATATGCTTAATGGAGACAGAACTGCACCATGAAATAGGCTGTTAGTAATAACTGCATGTCCCTGGCAGGATCTGTGGCTAAAGCCATGCTTTCCTGCTGGTGTACCGTAGTCTCAGCAAAAACAAGCACAGATTATTCCCCTTACTTCCTGTTTCACCTCCCTCCCATTTTTGTCTGGATGCCATGTGAAGACCATGGGTCTTTGATTCCATGATGGCCAGCAGTACTGTGGCATTAGTGTCGTTAGAGACAGTGATGAATGGAGGAGGGGAAGAGGTGTTTTGTGTGGCAATTTGCATGCTCAGCTGTGGAGACTTCCTGTGGGGTTGGGGTACTGAGTGGCAGGCAACAGGGTCAGAAGCCTAATGGTAGCTGTGCTGGGAGGTGGGCACTCTGGGATAAGGACATTCACAGGGGCGTGGCTGGTCTCACCAACCTAGATTATGATAATAATATGAATTAGCACTTCTATAGCCCTCATATTGTGCCAGGCACTGTTGTAAGTGCTTTTTGGATATTCTTTTAATCTTAACAAACAGCTGTGAGAGGTAGGTGCGATCATTATTCCTGTTAAAAGAAGAAACTCAGGTGCAGAGGGAAGGAAGTCATCACTTATATTGTGAAGTCAATTTATCTCAAAGTTTGCTGTGTAGTAGTTCTGTGCTAGTACCATATCAATTATATAACCAAAAACCAAAAGGAGAGTTTACACACCACAGAATCTGAGAAACAAAGATATACGTAATGTCTATCCTGTAACACCTTGTTTTAAATGTAAAAGCGAGCCCTCCAAGGGTTAAGTTACTTGCCTACAGTCATATAGATGCATAATAGTAGATCAGAAGTTAAAGCTAAAAGTAAAGCTTTATTTTCTGGTTCATAGTTTAAACAATTTTCTCATCATCAAGTCTTGTATGATCCTAAGTCAGGTTCTACTAAATGATTTTATTGTAGAATACATCTCATCTGAAAAGCAGAGTTCTAATTCTCTGTTTGAACTTATATTTTCTAAGTTAAACTTTAGTTTTCCACACTATCCTACTTTTGTTTTTAGTTTAATCTTGTTTATGTATCATCTTCCAAGATATAAGGCGTTTGTAATCTGAGGAGCTCTCTAAATCATTTATAAAGAGGGTTGGCAAGATAGCTCCGTGGACTGAAGAGCCTCCTTAGGCAAGCTTAGGCAAATGCAGGGACTGTGGTTCAATCCCCAGCACCACATGCCATGCCAGCTCCGCCTCCAGGGCAGGCTGAACCAGCCACAGAGTCCGGGCATAGTGGCACACGCCTGTAATCCCAGCGCTGTTAAAGCTGAAAACGGGAGGATCGCCATGAGTCTGAGCTGCATAGTGAGACCCTATAACAACCAAATGCATTAAAAAATTCTTTATAAAAATTTTTCTGAGCAGAGTATATACATTGAATTTCATGAGTTTCTAAAGAGGTCTGGGACCCAAAATTAGTAAGAGTCACTATTGCATTTGGCTGCTGAACGAGGTAGCTCACGGAACTCTGGGGCCTGCTCTAAGCTGACTGTCCACTGGCCCTGACCGGTGTCAGGAGGTCCCACCTCTGTAGCATGGATTTTGGTGGATGGGGGAGCCCTGCCACCCTTTTTTTCTCCAGTGACTATTTGGATCTCAGGATGATTAATCAACCTCTGAAAGCTTTCTTTCCATTCTATGAATTAGATGAAAATATCAAACCATTGTTTGAATTAACTTGACTGCTTTCAATTTGAAGTGTCTGATGATGTGGTTAGAACACATGGCATCCCTAAGTGCTTGTAAAGCTCTTTTTTTTTTTTTTCTTAACAGAGCCAACACATTAACAGCCATGCTTCACTTTTCATACATGTCCAAGAAAACCTGGAATAAAAACTGCACATTTAGTCATTTGGTCCAAATGAAAAGTCTTGTTTCCAGACCAATATGAGAACAAATGTTCCCCTGCAGCCAACGCCCTCATCACTGGGCGGTCTAAGCATAGCCTAGCTCCTTCGAAATCCGCTTCTTCATATGCTTTCCATGCTGTCACAGTAACCACCGTGTTCACAGGGGATCACTCTAATGATCCTAGGGAATGCCAAGTGCTAAAAATATTCCAGTGAAAGTCATTTTTCCCTTTTGCAAATGAAAACACTGTTTTCTTTCTTGTGGTTGAACTATGTCTCTATGTCAAGCTGTGGTCAAAATAGGAATTTAACTTTGTTAAACTCTTGTTCTTTACCAAAATGGAGATACTGTCTTTTTTCACCTTCCAATTTGTATTTAGTCCAACAAGGCCACATAACAGAGACTTGCTGAATGAAGCGCACTAAGAGAGAGCTCACCAGAATCCATGGAGAAATGGCCTTGGAAACCAGATGGTTCCTCACTCAAGGCAGGTGGAAGAGCCTGCCATCTTAGAAAGCTGTTGGTAGAAGAGCGAACAAGTTCAAGAGTAAATGGCTAGTATTGTGCAAATGGAACAACTATATAAGAATGCAACTAAAAGAGATGACAAGCAGGTGGCCCAGGAAGCAAAGTTGCTGGCGGTTCCGAAACAACCCAGAATTGTAGGTGGCACCCCATTTAGCCAGAGTGTGCTCAGGTGGCCCAACCACAAGTCAGAGTTTCCATTCAGTTGTCATATCTGAGAGTGTTTTCTGTTGAAAAAGAAAGGGACAGAGGTTGTGTTTAGAGTGATGGAAATAGACACACACCCATTATTGTTGCTGATTTAGCCTCAAGATGAGAAAGACTCTTTAAAAATCTAGTGTCAAAAGGAGAATAACAAAGTGATTAACTGTCGCTGGATTACAAGAGCTGCCGGTGAGCTGGAATCATCCATTGAGCCATAAGGAGATGGTTTCAAGGATAGACCTACTAGAACTGTTGGTGAGTGTTGCTTGTCATTTGGGCTACATTCAGATCTAAAAGAGAATTTTACGGCATAAAAATTACCTGGTGAAACTTTTAGCTTGCTTGGCCAGACCAAAGTGTGGTGTCACCTGAGGGTACAAGATTCATTCAACACTGTAGCCTCTCCCAGTGGGAGTCTGTCACCCTGACAAACAGAAGAATGTACAGAGCAGGGATCTTTCCACCCTCTCTTCAGTGTTGGAGCAGCAGATTGTGCAGTATATGGAAGTATTTTATACACCATGTGGGGACTATGCTTGGAAACCTAATAGCCTGGAAATATTTTTTCAAGCTTGTAATAATAGAAGACTTTGATAAGCTTCCACAAAAATTTTTATAGTAATACAAACCGAACTCAGGAGAGAATAACAATGTTTGCTTTTAGAGAGTGTACTCTACTCAGTTCACTAAACCCTTGAGAAGTTCTGAGTACTATTCTAAGTACTGTTTCTCAATTCATGGAGGTAATGCATTTTTCCAAAATGAATGTTGACCTTAAAATGACATCCTTTACCCCTGAACATTGTGCTTCCTAGAGGTCAGTTATTATTTTGCATTTCAAGTTTATTTGTATTTGACTGATTTTGCTGGACCTGTTACTCACTTTGAACAAAAACAGGAAGAAGTTTTGACAGATTAATGAAAAGCCATAGCTCTAGATTCCCTTGGAAATGGGATCCAGTTAAAGCCATGTCTTACCAGCAATTAATGAGGAAGAACTCATCCAGAGCCTATGTGTTTCAGCTGCTACAAACTGAACTTTTCCAAAATTCTGGCAGAGCTAATTTTGGCTTTTTCGAGTAACTAATCAAGAGGAGAATTTGCAAAACTAAAAGAATGAAGATGTTTTATTTCTTAGAAGTGAGATAAAGGATAGCAAGAAAGACGTGGAGAGATACCAGTCCACCCTTAATTAGGCTAATATAAATTATGTGAAAGTAAACTTCAGAACAACTAATACATTTATCACTAGCATTCTTGGCATTTGCAATAGTTAAATGGAATGGAAGCAATCAAGATACGTTCATTGAAATAGGCTACAATAATTCTTAATTTGCTTTCTGTACAAGTTTTGTTAACATCAAAATTTACAAAAACCTTTGCAATAAAACAAAAAGAACGATTATTATGAAATAAACAGGGCTAGGCTGCAATAACTCACTTTTACTGATGGGTGTTCTAGTCACATTTTGTCCTCTTTAGTGTTTAGAAGCCAGTCTTGCAGCGCTTGAGGGGCGTGGCGTAGTGTGTGTGCAGGATCACGCTGACCTCAGCAAGAAACCTGGCCCCATTACTTATTTGTTGTGTGATTTGGTAATTCAATTTCTGTACCCGTGAAATTGGATAATGATAGTACCCATGTCTTAAGGGATAACTGTTCAACAGACACTGGCATCATTATTGTTAATAGCTAACGATGTTCTCTTCTTTTTGTAGATGATGTTAGAAAATTGCTAAGGAAGTTAGATGTCATGAGTTCTGTGATTGCCCGGCTCAACCCAGAAGGTAACTTTGCATCCTACATCTACTGCAAAAGAAGGAACTGGTTTTTTTTTAAACATTTTATTAAATTACATATTGAAAATAGCTCAGAGCTATCAACTGTGAGTTGTCATTAAAATTTCACAAACCTTGGCTCAATTGTGACATTTTAAAAAGGTGAACAGTGAGCAAGATTTGCAGAGCTAAGGCTTTTTAAAGCATATTTTGAAGTCGAGATTGAACAAACATTTAACAGACTTGTCTTATTTATTTTTTGATCACAGAAGAAGTAGTTATCCATGAGTTTGCTAGTCTTTGCCTAGCAAACATGTCCGTAGAGTTTACCGGTAAAGTGCAAGTATTTGAACATGGTGGATTGGAGCCACTCATCAGACTGCTGAGGAGTCCCGATCCTGATGTGAAGAAGAATTCTATTGAAAGCATTTACAACTTGGCCCAGGTAAAATTAACTTCTAAAAGCTCCTTTGATGGCTAGGGTTATAGCTC